CTAAAAGGATCTATTGAACTCAGATTATTCTACTCATCAGTCTGACTTGAAGCTTAAGCCATATAAAGATGCAGATTGGGGTTCATGTTCATACACAAGGATATACTTCTTGTTTTTTTCTTATATCTTGGTACTTCTTTTATTTCATAGTAAAATGAAAAATGATGTCTTCTCTCATCCATCTGCAGAATCTGATAGTGCGATGTCTTTCTATTGTAACTCTACAACTGCAATTCATAATGCAAATAATCATGTTTTTCACGAAAGAACCAATCATGTAGTATACCATAATCATGTTTTTCCGTAATAAGTTAATTTAATTACGTCCGTTATATCCAATACTCCAATAAAGGAAAAGAATCACAGAAGTGTAGTATATACTATAATATGGCCTGCTTATATAACCAAATCTTAAGAACTATCAAAAATATAAGCAATTGTTTGTTTTAAAACAACTAGGTGTTTTGTCCGCACATGCGGGCTTAATTATCTTTAATCCATTTAAAAATCATCTAAATAAATGATTATTTGCATCCAAAAAATTCAAGCTAAAACATTTTAAAAAAAAAACATAATAAAGTTATTCACAAATTAAAAACAAATCTATTTTTTTCCTTTAAATCTTTGAAAAATCTAAAGTCTATTTCATTTCTTCTTAATTGATAAAAATATAGAAATCTATCTTTCAATTTGAAAAATTGAATAGATAAATATACAATCGAAAATTGATCTTACAGAAAGAATAATATTATTATTTCAAACACGTATTTTCTTTCTTTTTGAATGATCTTTTATTTTATTATGATTAATTCATGTTTAAGGTTTAATCATATAAAATTAAATTAAATTTAACGTGTGAGTTCAGAGGTGAAAAATAACTTCACAAATATATATCATTATATTATATTATTATATTCTTTTAATTTGAAAATAATTACGTATCATATTTTTGAATTTTTTATTTTCAATTATCTATACTATTATTTAAGAAGTAATTTTGATTAGATGTCATATTCTCCATAAGTTTAGGTAATTTTGTTTATTTATCATACTTTTAATATTAATATATAATTTTATAAATAAAATGAATTTATATGAATATATAATATTTTTAGAAAATAAGATATAAAACTTGAAAAATATATTTATATATAAAACTTAAATTTTAAATTAAAATATAAAAATTATCATATTATTTAAGAAGTAAATTTGCTTAGTTGTCATGTTCTCCATAAGTTTAGATAATTCTGTTTATTTATCATATTTTTAGTATTTATATATATTTTATTTATAAATAAAATGAATTTATATGAATATATCATATTTTTAGAAAATAAGATAATTCTTGTGAATTATGTTGTTATCTTGAAAACATATTTTATATATAAAACTTAAATTTTAAATTAAGATATAAAAATTATTATATTTATTATATAACTAAAACGAATTTATATTAATAATTTTATATTTTCTAAAATAAGATAATTCTTATGTATTAATTATGTTGTTGTGTTGAAAATATATTTTCTTATTATAAAATTTAAAATTAAGATATAAAATTATATTATCAAAAATTAAATATAAATCATCAAAAAAATATTTGAAAAGTGAATTTTTTTATTTGTCTTCATGATCCTGGGTAATTTTGATCATTATCGGAATTTCTCTAAATTTGTTCATTATTGATTATATAATTAAAACTAATTTATATTAATAATATGATATTTTAGAAAATAACTTAATTCTTGTGTAGTATGATGTGATCTTGAAAATATATTTTTATACTATAAAATTTAAAATTAACATGTAAAAACTCTATTCTATTATTTAAGAAGTGAATTTGATGTTTGTTAATTAGTCATATTTTCCATGATTTTAGGTAATTTTTATAATTTATCATAATTTCTATAATTTTATATATAATTTATTATATATTTAATACAAATTTATATTAATAGTATCAGATTTTTAGAAAATAAGTAACTTCTTATATATTAAGTTGCTATTTTGAAATATTTTTTCTATTAGAAATTTAAATTTAAGAATTAAAAAGTTTTAGTTATTCTATAACTGAAATAAATTTACACTAATAATATTGTACTTTTAGAAAATAAGGTAATTCTTATGTATAATGTTGTTATCTTGCAAAATATATTTTTATATTATATAATTTAAAAGTAAAATAGAAATATTATCTATTGTTTCATTAAGTAAAAATCATCACTCAAGAAAAATTAATTAAGAAGTGAGTTTGCTGATTCATTAAGTTTTCCATGATTTTAGGTAATTTTAATTATGTCATAATTTCTATAATCTTATATAATTATCATACAATTAAAACAAATTTATCATTTATATTCTTAGAAAATAAATAACTTATGCATTATATTTTTATCTTGAAAATATATTTTATCATAAAATTGAAAATTAATATATAAAATTATAATTAAATATAAATTAAGTATATCGTATAAATATTATAATTAATATAAATCAAGCATAATAATTATAGAAATAAATTCTTTTAAATATTTCTGATGTTTGAGTTTTTTCATTGATAATTATTTGATGTTTGATTTGTACTTTTGAAAACATAAATAATAACTTATTATGCTGATTTTTAAATTAATGAAGTATCAACTAATAAATATTCATAAAATAATTATGCCCGCAATTGCGGGCAAAACCCCTAGTATACAACTAAAAATTTTATTTTATGAATATTTATTTATGTTTCTGTTTTTAAATTTTTTTTATTAAAATATATTTTCAGGATAACAACACAATATATATCTAGGAATTTTCTTTTTATTTTATTTTAAACATATATTTATACTATGGATAATTCTTATCATTATTACTCATTTAAATCATTTATCTAATCAAATAAATATTAAATTCATTTTTATTTTTGGCTTATTTATAGATTTTATTCATTAAGGGTATAAACGATATTAACCACTCTGACTTTTAATGTGAGAGATCCATTGCAAAAATCACTTAGCAAATAATAGTATAGATAGTAACATTTTTACTAATGTGAACTCGTTTATACAATTTCATAGCCTAAGACCATCTCCAATAACCCTTCATTTTAAAAGAAAATATCAAAAATAAGGGAAAATATTTTTTAGTAGTAACATCATTTTGTGGAAAAAAAGAATTTATAAATAATATTCCCTCAAATTTATAAAACTCATTTACTTATGAATTATCCTTAAACATTTATATAATGTGTTTCATATCTACAATGATTTAATATTTATGTTTAATACTTTATTAATGCAATTATATTTTTATATGAATCATTATATCTTTTTTAGAAACTAAACTTATATATACTTAAGATTTAGTTCAAATAAATTTATATTTGGGTAAAAATTTTAATTTTTATAAAATAATAAGAACTTTTATAATAAATAATAAGTAAAAATAATGTAACATACTTAAAATTTTTATTTTGAAAAAAAAAATGAGGGAGACTCTTGGAGTCAAATGGAAATTCACTTTGAGTTTACCTCATTTTGATGGAAAAACTGAGGTGAACCATTGAAGATGCTCTATGACTATCTCCAATAGTGAATCATTTTGAAGGAAAATATCAAAAAAAAAAAATCTTCTCTAATTTTGCATCATTTTGAGGGGAAATATGAGTTTGTGAAAAGTGTTCCATCAAATTTAAGGTAAAACTATATTCCAGATGATGCACCATTGAAAAAATATTTCTTTAATTTTTGTACCATTTCCCTCATTTTGTGTTTTTAATATAAATTAGTCTTTACACTTTTATATAATTTTGTTTTATAAAACTCAATATTTTTGTTTTCTACTTTAAAGAATTAATACTCTCATAGTATAACTATAAATTTATATAAACCCTAGTATCTATTTTTAGAAACTAAACTTATGTACATCACAAAGATTTAATTAATATAAAATTATCTTTGGGTAAATTTTTAAGTTTTATAAAGTAATAGTCATTATTGGAACTAATAATAATTAGTAATAACATAATATATTTAAAATTGCTTTTTTGAGGAGAAAAATAAGAGGAACTATTGGAGAAAAATATAAACTACTAGAGAGCCTTGTATATAAATGTGGTTGGAAACCTTGCGGTCAAAATCATGTAATCCCCTTTTGATGAATAAAAAGTTGATCTCGGGTTTAAAAAAAATGTAAACTAACTCTGAGTTTACAGTGGAAGCATCGTAGTCTAGTGGTTAAGGTTTATAGGTTTTTACACCAGTTCTGCGATTCGAATCTTAGACTACACAGTTTCTACACCAAGAAGGTTTTAATTCCCGTAGAAGATGAATGGTAAATTCTGCAGATTATTGGAGAAAAGGCTTACAAGAGATCTTCAACATGGTGTAATGCGTACCATTAAGAATGGATCTTATAGGACGGCTCAAGGTGATGCAGTCAGACGTAAATCCGCATTAAACAGGTAGAACTGTCAGCTGTAATATTGTCTATGTAAAATTCTCATAGTTTGTAATGTATAATTGACCAGTGTTAAAAAAAAACTCCGAGTTTACTTCATTTTGAGAGAAAAAATAAGATGAAAGAAACTTTTCATAATTATATAAACCTATTTTAATATATCAAAATTTACAAACCTAAACAATGCACTAACTTATTCTAATTCATGTTTTTAACCATCTATCTATTTTGCGACGTAACACCGAGTTGTAAGACATCCCACAAAAAGCTTTTTTCAAATGTTGATTGCAAATTATGCATTTTGTATTGCTGTTTTTATTTTATTTTAGAGCTTTATTACAAGATAAGAAATATTTATTAATTAGATACAATACTTTATTAGCTATTGTTAATACTTTGTATTTGTTTGACTAGCTAATTAGTTCAAACATAATATCTTTAATTTAAAGAGATAAATCTTTTGTACCTCTCGGTCACAATATAAAACCCAACGCATCCACGGCCTCAATACACACACAACAAAAAAAGGAAAGGAAAAGAACAAAAAAAATATCATGACTAGGAAGAAGGTGAAACTTGCTTTCATTGCTAGCGATTCTTCGAGGAAAGCAACTTATAAGAAAAGAAAGAAAGGTTTGATGAAGAAAGTGAATGAGCTCTCGACTCTTTGTGGTATCAATGCATGCGCTATCATCTACAGTCCCTACGACTCCAATCCAGAGGTGTGGCCATCAAACTCCGGAGTGCAAAGGATAATATCGGAGTTTCGGACATTGCCGGAGATGGACCAGAACAAGAAAATGGTAGATCAAGAAACCTTTCTCAGACAAAGGATAGCCAAAGCCTCCGATAATTTGAAGAAACAAAGGAAGGACAATCGAGAGATGGAGATGACCGAAGTCATGTTCCAATGTTTGGTCGGAAATATGGGGATGTTTAATCTGAATATTATGGATCTTAATGATTTAGGTTATTTGATTGATCAATATCTTAAAGATGTTAACCGCAGGATCGAGATATTAGGTAATTCTCGTATGGAGCTCGGTGAATCCTCCAACAACGTTGCTGCTGAAACGAGTGGAGCGTTGGCTGTTGTGGAGGCTACAACCGCTCCAGCAGCTACGATTCAGCAGCAACAACAGTTTCACCAACATGTTGGACTTTATGAGCAGCCTTTGAATCTGAATCTGAATCATAGTCATGACCAACAACAACAATGGTTTATGCACATGATGAACCATCCCCAGCAAATGAGTCATGCAGCTGAGCAAATGTGCTTTCCGTTCATGAATGATAACCACCAACAACAACAGCAGCAGCGACAGATCCCCGGCGTTTTCTCCACCACTCCAACAACCGTTAGTTCAAGCAGTATCAATCCCGTTACTAGTTCAACCCCTACCAATAATGTTAAAATGTGAGTATTTAGAGACTGGTTTGTTTGAGAAGAAGGAAGAACAACAAGAACAGAGGAGAGAAGGTAGTATTTTCGTGAGAGAGAAGAGAGGAGAGAGAGAGTTACACAAGAGAATTTAATTCTGAGGAAAACAATTTCCTTGACTTTTTAGTTTGCTTACAACATGTATTTAAAGTCAAATCAGGCTTACAAGGACAGAAGATTTAATATATAAAACTCAACCCACTTGCACCTGCTTTGTCCAGAACCCCCAACGGTCTTCTTAAACCAATTGAAACCAATTGTAACCTTCTCAAACCAATTGTAACCTTCACCATTCGAATAATTATTCTCCTCTAGTCCTTTTTATTGCTTCATGTTCACACTCCCCCTCAAGCTTGACAATAGATACTATGTTAAGCTTGGAGTACCATGAAGCATTCCCTCACTAAAACCTTACTTAGCAAAACCCATTGGGATAAAAGCTAAGCAAGGAAAGAGTAGAACACTTCATGGAGAGGGGATTAGTGACATGAAAGGTCTATGAGTCCAAGCTTAGGATGAATGAACTCACAGACCTTGCTGCTTGCTGCCTTAGTGAAGATGTCAGCAAGTTGATCTTCACTTCTAGTATAGCAAGGAAGGATTACTTGTTGTTCCA